TGACTGACTGTTCACCATTCACCATTCAATCCACGCTTTCAACTCAACGATTGCACGAGTTTGCGATTGTATTGCACCGCATCTCTATGGCCAAATGGCATCTATAAGACCTACTCTCCATCACTGCCCCTCTCCTCACACACCCACCCCACCATCGCCCACCGTTCCCTCTTCCGTCCTCTTCGCCTCGACGCCTAGCATGGCCAGCACAGCCCTTCCGATCCTCGCACCATCATGTTGCCTCTTTGCCCTCTGCAAGCCCTCGCTTCTCAAGTCGCCCTGTATCAAACCCATCTCCGTTCTCGCATCGATCAAGGTCTCTACGATCTCTGCATCAAACTCCGGATGTCCTTGAAGCGTGAGGATGTGCAAGGATCGACTGGGCGCTGGACCTGATGAATCTTGGACGGAGGAAATGTCAAAGGCGATGTACTCTGATGCGGAGACGGCTGAGGGTAATGGCGGTGCATCGGTGGGGTATCGCAGTGCCAGGCCTTGCAGGGAACAACGAGATGTGCTGCCGAGATTAACGAATGTTTGCCCTTGAAAGTCGGGCGGTGGGCAGACGACGATATCCCGATGGACTTGATGGATGCGCTGGCGAGAGTGGGGAGGAGCAGTTGCAGGATGTGGATCAGATGGAAAGGTGGGACAGCGCGCGCAAGCAAACAGCAGATCCTCCTTGCTCATCTCACCATGATATCTTCGCCATGCTCGTAGCCCAGGTACGCTTTGCCCTCATCGCTCAACCGCACCTCGTACACGCCCAACTGAGAGGAGGAGTGCGCGTGCGTGTGCGCGTGCAGGGATGAATGGCTAGGAGCAAGGACTGACGCGCAGACGGGCAGGAGCACCGACTCACCTCGAAACCATGCTGATTGAGCTTGACGGGCGCATCGAAGGCCCTTGCGATGATCTGATGACCATAGCAAATGCCGACTGGTATGCTGGCGGCATCAGCAAGTGGGCTTTCCAAAGGACAAACAGGCCATGGCGTGCTGTGCTGCTTGCCCACTACTCGTGACTCACTGATGCGTACAAGCGGATGCTCATGCGCAGTGTGTTTGAGCCAGCAAGACAGCTTGTCTATCCAAGGCACATCTGCGTATGCTGATGACGCTGGCGAGCGGGCGAGCGGGCGAGCGAGGGAGCACGCGCATGAACGCGGAGCATCAGTTACGGTGCTCCTTGCGCTCGATGCGCTCGATGCGCTCGATGCGCTC